ATCGACTGCTCTTCGTAACGTTGATTTCTTGTTGAATGGGTGGCAGAAACAGAATCCTTAAATATTATTTACACGACCTTCGACCGTTAAACATGTAACAATTATACTTATAAAATGCGATGTTTTAACAGCGACAATGTAGACTTGTCGGCCCTTACGTAGCTATGAGAAGTTTACGATCCCTTCATACGACCATTGAATTCGTAGTTATATCACAATAATTTCTTTTGACCCTTTGAAGCCGGAGTTCGTCTAAATAACATATAAGAATGAAGTCCATATCGCAAAGAAAACACTACACTTCGCTATTACAAAGATAAACGTTGTTTAAGAAATTATCGCTGTCTACAGTGAGAATCATACGAAACGCAACACAAAATGAAGAGTTATTGATTGCTGAATCAGGTGGGACATACAGTTACCACTGGGCTTAAAAGAGTTAATGTACATTTCTTTCTTATCTAATCTCAGTTCGACAACGCGATCAGTGGGGAAGGTTCCGGTCTGGCTAGAATTTCCCAGCCAGACCACTAAAACTGGAGAAACACAAGCGTTTTACTACATAACACAACTGAGACAAAAATTATTAAAATATCGTAGCATCGTGGTGCGATAGTTGGGGGGGGGGGGTGTTAATAACGCTGCATTTCCGTACGACCAGACCTCTAGACTGAGTGTGATCCAGTAGACCTAACCGAATGAATCTATTACCATTTGCCGTTCGTGAATACAAACGAAATACACTCTAACAGCACTTCTGCTACCCAGGATCGGCAAGCTATGCCAGAATTAGATTGATTTTTATTGCATACACACCGCCGACTAACTGCAAAGATCATGTGACGTCGAATAGAAATAGGAAAATACCACGAATGGTGAGTAGGTAAGTCTGTGCATCCTGATGAAAATCATGGACAACCTGAGTTGGGATACACGAGAGACCAACCGATAATTCGAACTGGAAACTCCCACACACAATTCGGACGCCTTCCCAACTCATTTGGTATGGTGATAATGACAAATGTTGCCCCTACACCATATCACGTCAACATCTCTGAAACAAGTTGAAAGTAATGAGCCTCACGCTCCGACCATTTATACCAGAGTGGAAGTAATAATGTAACCTTCCTTTCTCGGGAGGGAGTGCGCTCGGGCACTGCATGCGCAGTTTGGCAAGTGTCTCGGCAGCCTTGAGCGCGCGGTTAAAGACCGGGACGAAAAAAATCCTCAAGGTAATAGCAAAGTCAATGACAGACATGTCGACATGCAGGGCATGTCACACCAACACACAACGCGATGGGAGGAAGTGCGTGGAGCTTGACTTAGCGCCCCCTCTACACCCTCATGCCATGACGTTTAGGTACACATAAATTACCGGACCTTGCTTATGTAAAATTCGCAGTAAGGTTCGAGACAGAAACACAACGAACTTCAACGTGAAAAAGTTTAAGCACTTGGAAGGCCAATGTAATTAACTGAATTATGCATATTAATAACTGGAGGAAAATAAATCACTTATTCCATTTATATCAAACTCCAATAAAATGAAAAGGCAAAGCAGTCTCTGTGCTTCAATAAGCACTATGCAATCAATGTAAAGGTATGAAAGAGTGGAGACATAGCTCCATGCTTGACAACAATCACTTCAGAATCATTTATAACTCAGTACTGTATCTAAAGATGAAAATATCAACAACCAAACATGTATTATGTTAAATTCTCCATACAGAAAACTCTAACACTAGGTTTTGCAGTCCATAGCAGATCCAACTATAAAACTACATTCATAATGCTGCTTTACAAATGTCTGAAACTCAGTCTCTCAATCTAACAAGTACCAACAGAAACTGGAAGTGGGCCAGAATTAAGTATTGGCTAAGACATCTTGACTCAATCATATAGTAACAAAGAAATGGGGAAAAATACACAATAAAGAGCTTCAATAATATTTACCTTCACATAATGCTATTAAGGCCATTAAATCCAGTGGGATGAGATGTGGAAAATGAGAAATGCAAACTCTACTGAGACAATCTGGAGGGAAACTTAGGCAACTTCCACACAGATAGAAGACAAAATAAAAACTGATCTGTATAAGAGAGAATGATGTTGTGAATTACATTGGGGTGGGGGGGGGGGGGGGGGGGTGTTAATAACGCTGCATTTCCGTACGACCAGACCTCTAGACTGAGTGTGATCCAGTAGACCTAACCGAATGAATCTATTACCATTTGCCGTTCGTGAATACAAACGAAATACACTCTAACAGCACTTCTGCTACCCAGGATCGGCAAGCTATGCCAGAATTAGATTGATTTTTATTGCATACACACCGCCGACTAACTGCAAAGATCATGTGACGTCGAATAGAAATAGGAAAATACCACGAATGGTGAGTAGGTAAGTCTGTGCATCCTGATGAAAATCATGGACAACCTGAGTTGGGATACACGAGAGACCAACCGATAATTCGAACTGGAAACTCCCACACACAATTCGGACGCCTTCCCAACTCATTTGGTATGGTGATAATGACAAATGTTGCCCCTACACCATATCACGTCAACATCTCTGAAACAAGTTGAAAGTAATGAGCCTCACGCTCCGACCATTTATACCAGAGTGGAAGTAATAATGTAACCTTCCTTTCTCGGGAGGGAGTGCGCTCGGGCACTGCATGCGCAGTTTGGCAAGTGTCTCGGCAGCCTTGAGCGCGCGGTTAAAGACCGGGACGAAAAAAATCCTCAAGGTAATAGCAAAGTCAATGACAGACATGTCGACATGCAGGGCATGTCACACCAACACACAACGCGATGGGAGGAAGTGCGTGGAGCTTGACTTAGCGCCCCCTCTACACCCTCATGCCATGACGTTTAGGTACACATAAATTACCGGACCTTGCTTATGTAAAATTCGCAGTAAGGTTCGAGACAGAAACACAACGAACTTCAACGTGAAAAAGTTTAAGCACTTGGAAGGCCAATGTAATTAACTGAATTATGCATATTAATAACTGGAGGAAAATAAATCACTTATTCCATTTATATCAAACTCCAATAAAATGAAAAGGCAAAGCAGTCTCTGTGCTTCAATAAGCACTATGCAATCAATGTAAAGGTATGAAAGAGTGGAGACATAGCTCCATGCTTGACAACAATCACTTCAGAATCATTTATAACTCAGTACTGTATCTAAAGATGAAAATATCAACAACCAAACATGTATTATGTTAAATTCTCCATACAGAAAACTCTAACACTAGGTTTTGCAGTCCATAGCAGATCCAACTATAAAACTACATTCATAATGCTGCTTTACAAATGTCTGAAACTCAGTCTCTCAATCTAACAAGTACCAACAGAAACTGGAAGTGGGCCAGAATTAAGTATTGGCTAAGACATCTTGACTCAATCATATAGTAACAAAGAAATGGGGAAAAATACACAATAAAGAGCTTCAATAATATTTACCTTCACATAATGCTATTAAGGCCATTAAATCCAGTGGGATGAGATGTGGAAAATGAGAAATGCAAACTCTACTGAGACAATCTGGAGGGAAACTTAGGCAACTTCCACACAGATAGAAGACAAAATAAAAACTGATCTGTATAAGAGAGAATGATGTTGTGAATTACATTGCACTGGTTCAGGATTGGATCAAATGGTAAGTTTTTATAAACATAATGAACCTATGTTAGACTATGTTCTTCAGGTTTTTAATGCTATGTAGACTTATCAATGTTTCAAAGAAACATACTATTTCCATCTTCAGCCCTGTTTCTCTGAAACACTGTTGTCTACCTGCAAGTCTATATAATATCAAAGCCCAGAAGAACAACATCAAACTGCAAGCTACCTCAAAATTATGAATTTCTTGACTACATAAATAAATATGAACTGTCCAAGGAGATTCTGTACCCAGGAGTGGGTCAACATATGAAATAATTTAAATGTAATTTAATGCATAAAATTAATTGATATTTTGAAGCAGTGTTTCTATACACATCTTTTAAAACATACTGGCATGTATCTGCAAATAAGTAACAACTTTGTAAGGAAACAAAGAGAACAAAATGTTCTAAGCAAAATTATTAACTATTCATGAGCAGAATTTTTCTTGAGCTCATTTTGTAGCATATATGCTACAATCTTCACTAAATTCCTCAAGTTGATCATATACTGAGAGGGTTCGCTTTATTTCATATCTTCACATAGTATTTTTCTGTTACATAACATCCTCTTGAGGATATGTTTGTATCCACTTCTGCATCTTTATAAGTTTACAAACCAACACTTTGTAACATAATATTTTTCAAGCCAACACATTTCAAGTTCAATCACATTTCTTGAATAAATAAATATATACACATACTTCTTTTATTTCTAGTTTGCAACTGGGAAAAGTTTTATATACTACTTGTCACATACAGCATCAAATATGTGAACACTAGAACCAAAAGCACAAATAATTTAATTTTCTGGCTCTATGATGACCCCACATTACATGTCTTACTCATCATTAATCAGTGTGCATGCACATGCTACCTGCTATCTCAATACAGGCCCAGTTTTCTACCTCTCTTCAGTCCCCATGCAGTCTGCACAGCATTATGTATGTACAAGAATTCACTGACCTCCTCAATAAAGTATTTTAATAGAAAGGTCTTGCATTTTATTATATATCAAACCTGAATCAAGAATAGTAAATGAACTGTTTACTAGCTACTTATAATGCATAATTCAGACTAATACAGCAGGCCTGAATAAAAATGTCTGTACTTGGTAGTTGCAACTATGTATTTAAAACAACATTCCTCGATGCGTGACCACAAAATGTAACACACGAAAACCTAGTATCCATCACTAAACTTGTTGCTAATTAAAATATAACGATACACATTACAATACGAACACAGCGTTTTTCACTTTGTACTTAACTTCACCAGCTTCAATGTACTCCGAAGACTATACCTATAAAATCAATATGCATGCACTGACCTGCATTGAATCTGCACTCAGAATTTCTCCTGCAAATTTCCTTGCAATTTCGATTCCTAACTTTGATTTTCCAGATCCCGTAGCACCCAGAATAACGATAACAGGGATACGAGAACGCATTTCTCCTTCACTAAAGGCTGCCATATTGCATTTGTCGTGTATGAGAAATTTCAGGCAACCTATTCGTAGCGCGACGTATGAAAAATCCATGATGCAAACGATTGTATAAAAAGCCAACAAGGCCGGCATAGAAATTTTACGTATGGAAAGTCATACTTTCTTGGAGATTGTAGATAATTCCCAATAGTATAACCGGAAATAAATGTGCTAGAAATCTCGTTTAATAAAGTTATGAGTTTAGGTGCTTAATTATAGTAACTAATAATTTGAATCTGATGCAAGAATTGGAGGCAACACGGAACCAACAAACCATGCGTAATAATTTAATGATCTAGAATCTAATTGCTGTTACCATCATTTTCGTAATCCACAGGTGCGTTGTCCATAGATGTCTTTAAAATCAAGAACCAATGCTTATATTTCCATACCATAGCCACCGAAACAGAAAACTTTGTAATTTTTCTAATCTGTGACATCACCATCTGCAGCCACGGAAATTGTGGAATAAATAACAATCTTAATGGAATTTGTAAGCTTATAATTTTTCTTAATGGTTTTAGGATGTTAAACAGGATTGAAATGGAGATGGCTGTCTTCTGGGTTGTTGCGCCATGTTCAGACTCACCGCCGATGAAACCTCTAATCCTATTAGGATTGAAATGGTTTGATTCTTGTTCTTAGGTTTTCGCGGGTGGTGTTGCACAGCTTCGGCTTTTGGGGATGAGCGGGTGGAACGTTAGAAGATTATTCAGTGTTTCGTCAAACACTGCAGTTGCCATTTTCTGGGTGTTTACGTGGGTGAATATACGGGTGAAGACCTTATATAGGGCAGGTAGTAATAGATGGCGAGTTGATTTGATGGTGCTGGTAGGTGGAGCGGACTGCAGTGTGTGCTGAAACGTTGGATAATTTTCGGCAATCGACACGGCTCATCCTCGAAAGACGAAGTTGTGCACTGATTTACAATGTCCAAAGGCGATTTTGGGATTATCGGTGTTTAACCATAAGAATGGTATACTTCCATACTGGTACACAGCAATGTAAATACGCGAATAAAGGCGTCAGTTGAATAGGAAGAAAACGTCTTACCTAACTTTAGTCAATATGAACACAGTGGGCCACAATTTGCCAAGTGCGTGAGAAGTTGGATCTTAGCCCAGCTCATTCAACTGAATGATTTGCAAGTAGCGTTCTTGAAATTAGCCTCACAACATTCAGTCAGCCGTATTAATAGCTTTCAATGACACGGGTGTTCCACAGAGCGAGCAGTGCCCTCCGAATAGGCTGGGCATCAAGTTGCATTTCTCCCAGCATGGCAACGAGTCTTACGTAGTTCTGGAAATATCTGTGCTAATGCTTTCATGGTTCAATGTCAAATGGAGTAATAGCTCTAAAATATTTGCCCGCTCAGTGGCCAAGGACTAAATGACTGGAATTATATTCCTGGCCGGAAAACTTTTTTAAAGCCATGTCGGGCAATGATGATAAAACCATTGTGTAACAGATCACATAACATTTTAATGCTGTTGTCGTGTATTTAGGCCACTTATGTAACAGATCACATAACATTTTAATGCCGTTGTCGTGTATTTAGGCCACTTATATTTCCTCACATTAATACTTTCATCCAACCCGCTCTAACACCACATGACCCACCTTCAAGAGTACAGTACCAACTGACGCCAGCTAGTGTTAACTCTCCTTGGTTGGCAGTCAATGCTGCGTGATATCTTCCAACAGGTTTCTAACGTAGTGCTGAAGTCTAGAATCCGTCGAACGTCACCTGCATATACTCGTGGTGTTCCCCACACTTCTATAGGTTTTGTCTAACTACAATACAGGTAACACTAACATGAGGAAACAGTTCAGTCCATGGATCTTCTGTTCTAGGAATGCCCAGATTAGATCCCAGAAGTAAAGTGGCAGCAGCTATAAAATGTACGCACAAAAATCGGTCAGTTGAGGGCAAGGTGTCTTTAACATTTTTAAGCTGTTGTCATTCTGATACAATCCTGAAAACTACGATTTCACGGGATAATTATGAATCACTGAAATAGAAAAGGGCTGAGGTGGAATCACAATTCTGGATCATTAAAATTATAGTTGTAGCAGGCATGAAAAAGTTCATGTTACTTGCGAAAGAATTAATGCTAACAAGCAGAAGTGTGACTCCCCTAACTACGAGGATGGATGATATAATAAAAACAACAACCAGTGTTCATTAATCGTGTATTGATGCAGGAACTAAACCAATGAAACTAACTTACAGTAATACTTCACTCTCCTATGCAGGCCACTACTATAAAAAGTGCCTTTGTCAGTTGTCACAAAATTAGCATATCTTTCATTATTACTTATGTTTAGTTTCAGAAAAGTTTATAAATATGCAGAAATGTGCCCAACATGATTTACCTTTTAAAATTATAAAAGAACATATAATTTTCAAACTTTCTTAAAACTAAAATGTTTTTAATAAACAAAACTGCATCTGACCACAAAATGAAGAAGACAGGCAATACAATCCAAATCACGATGTTGGTCTTCAATTACTTGGTACATCAGATTGGTGAGATTCAGGAATAATATGCTAGACAAGAGTTACCACCTACTAAAAATAGTATTCAATATTAATGCTCATGAAACACTCTAGAATTATGTGGGTCAATTCTAAAATGTTTTAAAATAAATGATGATGCAAGTGTACATAACAATAAAAGTGGAAAGCCAGTGGAAGACTTGCATGAATTAATTTATAAACCAGTAAAATGTACTCATACAAAATTCCTTGCATATATTTCTTTCTTAAGAGGCCTCAATAATAAATTTCTTCCAGAGCCTCGTGGTTGGCTCAAACACCACCAATGAAAAGCAGCATCCAACAACATGAAAGTCATTTTGTTTCCACATGACTAACAACACCAAAGGCAGCACAAGGTACTGCAATGCTCGTATTTCCCTGTGAATAATGTGGATCAATAGTATGACTCCTTCAGCTGCTCTACATATATTAAAACAAGTTCTTTTCCTTTTGCTTCAAGCAACACTGGATACTTAAGCAGGAAAGGTGGCAACCCTGAACCATTAAGATACTCCATTCCACCTGTCTTTTTCTCTAGAAGTCACAAAGCTGCAAGGCACATTTCACTCACAAACATATCAAAATTTGTACATACATTAATAAGTTACAATTTCTGTAGTGCGATGCAAACCCTAATTTAATATGCAATCTGCAGAAAACAAAATAATATACAGTGGACACTCCCTTAACTGGTACTCTCTTAAAAAGCTCTTCAGGTTAAGATTTTTCCTATGGGAGTCCTCAGTTACAATAAAAACAATAATGAAGCCGACAGTCAGGCTTTTCTTCTATCCATACAGATGGATAAGAAATGGAGGGACCGTATGCAGAAAAAAAGGCTCTTTACTTAATTATACACATTTATATACCCGAGAATTGCCAGTGACGATTTTTCAGTACGTGCGTATGTGAATAAATGACAGATTATCAATTTTTTTATTAACCTCTCCACCATGCAGATCCATCTATATACCAATTAAACAGGAGTCCACCGTACGCTTAAATTAGAAACAAGCATACTTATATAATGGGCTGTGTTGGAGTTGCCATGGCGATAGAAACCATCACTGATACCTGTACAGAAAGTTAAACCTAAACAAGTAACTCCCCAGTGTAATTAAAAGTTACTTTTATCAAAAAGTACAAAATACTGTGAACATGAACACAAGCAATCAAATAATTCCCCAATCTACCTTAACATTCACAGTAAATATAAAATCTGTACACAGGACACAAGGTAACATAAATAGTATATTTCGTATAATTATTTTTATACATATATAAAAGAAAACTAGCATTTAATAGACTATACAAGGTTCAAACAAAACGTATGCTGTCGCTTTCAACAAATGACATATTTGCCAACTATGGAAAGTGATAAGATATAATAAGCCATGTGTGAAATTGAAAAAGATGATAAAAAGACAACTGTTAACATACCTCAATCCTTGCACTGCTTGTCGCAGTTGGATATAAATGCATGTAGAAGCTGTGGTGCTCACTACATAGTGTGTTAAATCGCCTACAATTTGCTAACATACTTTGGCATCTAGCATGTTGACTAAAGTTACGTGTCCCCACTACACTTACTTATTCCCAACACTTTTATCAAAGCAAAATTTTGCTGGGCAAATTTGTGACAGATCAGTTTGTCATACAAAATTTCTCAATAGGAAAGTAACCCACTGGACAAGACAAAGATGGCTCTCACCAATGTAAGAAAGTAACGCAAGCAATGCCTAATTTGATGCCAAAATATGTACAGATTTATAAGATAATCTAATCTGAATTTGGTACATAAAACTTTCAAAACACTCAAAACCAAACTTTAAAAAAAACTTATAAAATAAAAATGTCACTTTATTTCAAATCGCATAAAATGACATGTTACTACAATAAAGTAAATTTTCCCTTCATTTGTTCTGACATCTTGATTAATGATATAAAACTAAAGTGGGGGACATTTTCAAAATTAGCAACAAATAACCTGCTGATGTACCTAATTTGCAATTTCAAACCAAATACACCTCTTGTCAGTTCTAGGACTGCCCAACAGGCATTCTAGATTTGAGTCACAAAACTTCAGAATAAATTACACATGAACTGCTTTTATTTATTTCTACCTATTATTAAATTCTCATGCTGCTTTTCCTTAAAAGCTGAGCAATGTCTGATTAACCATCCTCAATGTTGGGCAGTCCCAGATTATATCACAAGCAAGATAAATATTTATTTACATTCGCGTTATCGCGTGCTGCTCCGAGATTTAAAATGTGTTAATATTACGCATACGACTGCTCTACTGATTATGGGAAGGGAGGAACGATGTTGTACTATCAAAATACACTTTCCTTAGTATTACTGTGGAATGTATCAATATTACGATGCACATGCATTCCTACACAGGGGAATGCGTCTCTGTATGGGAATTCTGCACCTCTCGCTTACTGTACGCTACCTTGGTTTTGAACAGAACCTCTGGTTATTTCTGTGTTCTAAAGCAAATTTCTCATTCTTTCTGCATTCTAAAGCCAATTTCTGTCTCTTTCTGCGTGCTGCGAACATCCACTGTGTTGCAGCCAGTCTTCGCTGGTGTGTTGCAGTTCTGGATCTGAAAGTTGGGACAATACTCATGGTAGCCAATCAACCCAAGGAAAACACCCAGTACTGCCACTCTACAGTTAATCCCCTTGACTTCGTGACAAGTAACAATTATTTTGATGGTTTTACATACCAATTTCTTGAAGGTGTTTGTTCAACGATAATTTTAGAACTTCTAGATATGCGACACTGTCATGTTTTGTGCCGTGCAGCGACAATTTGTTCAAACTATCAGATATTTAGTACAAACCTTGTGGAATTGACATTAATATGCTGGGAATAATCAGCCGGTACATTAGTAAATCACAACAATTTTCCATTTCCAGGAAAGTCACTGGTACTCTTATATTACTTAAAGGCATAAATGAAGTCAGAAACGACGGCTGCACAGAACTGATGTATCGCATCATGCGACAACTTTTACTGAACAAATCTCATGCAATCCTATCTAGAGCCATGTTATGTCAGAAACCTTGGTTCTGATTCTAGAATTATGATGAAGTTATCAATTCAATCCTTTTCACTGCTACATTTTCCAAGCACTGTAAAAACCAACCATACACGTTTTTGTGCAAATACTTTCGATTTGGGCAGGGAAGCATTTGCAGAATTCAGAACTTCGTACACATATGAACATATTAAAGAGACTGATGAGAGGAACAAAATTTAACAAATTCAAAACTGTTACTTATCTGGGGTTGGCATACCAACATCCTAAGTAGACAATGAGGTTATTAACGTGAGAAATGAAAGAATTACTCTGCACTAATCCATTTTGTACTATTATATGTAAACAATATTGGCATAAAGGGCACTAAATTGTTGAAAGAGACAAGACAAGGCGTATAATGAGGGAAAACTTCAGAATGCACCAAGAACAAACTAAAGGTGTAGTCATTTTAATGTCCAAGCCAGACAGCACTAAGAGGCAACCCTTAGCGTGACCATTGCCAGTAGGTTTAGATGATTCGACCAGTTATTAACACCTTCGCTTAATTCTGATTTGAACAGATATTGAAACTTCATTTAACTTTACTGTGTGAACTGAACGATTTTGGGCCAATTATTATGTGTACATTATCAAGTACTAAACACATTTACATGACTATTAGCAATCCTCACCTATTTCACATTAACCCATTCACACTGGGTTGCAGTTCTTGTGTGTTGCT